CAGCTAGAGAAGAGGGAAGAAAGACCCATGCAGACCACAGTGCTGAGAGGAAGCGCCTTTTGTACCGGCCCTTCTCTTGGGAAGGGAGAATCAAACCGAGCGCATATTTCTGGGTTGGGGAGGGAGAAAGAAGAAAGAAAGGAAAGTTAAAGGGGAAGTTAGAAAAAAGAAAAAGAAGGGAAAGTAAAGTTAGAGGAGGTTAGAGGAGGGAAGGAGGGAGGAAGAAAGGAGAGAGAGAGAGAGAGAAAGAGGAGGTTAGGAAAAAGAAAAAGAAAGGAGAGAGGGAGGGAGGGAGGGATGGAGGGAAGGAGAGACCTTACAGAGCAGTGGGAAAGGAAGACCCCTGGGTACCTGCTTTGCTGCTGTTCCCTGGATGGGTTTCCTCCTTGCTCCGATTCTGGCTCCAGCAATTCAAGCAAAGCCACTGGCTCTTCCGGCGGGGAGACCCTGCTGGAGGGGTTTGGCTCTGCTCCTGGAAAGCCAGCCTCTGTGGGGCTGTGCTGCAAGTCCCACTTGGTGGAGGCCCCCATAAGCTTGAGGATCCTCCTGACTGGGCCACGTCCAGCCCAGAGGGAGGGGTCTGACTCAGCACCAGCTGCCCCTCCTGCAGTCCCCGCAAGGGCCTTCAGCTCTGAGCGGGATGGAAAAGGGGGGGGCCTGTCTGAGCGGAGGAAGAGCCAGAACTCAGACTCAGGGGAGGGGGAGGGGGAGGGTTTCCCTTCCCCCTGCAAGGGAGGTTTCTGCTGCAAATCCAGATACAGTAATCCCATCACGGAAAAAATGGAGACAACAGACAAACAAAGAGGAGATCCAGACTTCTTTTCATGAACAGAATAGCTGCAAGGAAGGGAGTCACTAGCCAGCTTATGCAAACAGCTTTGCTTAACAAAAGGGCGGGCCCAGGAAATCCCCACAACTCTTTATCACTTTATCTTCTGCAGACCCCACCTTGCACCTCTGTCATCTGCAATTTGAGCAGGAGGAACTGAAGGGATTCTCTGCACCATCTTAGTTTGGGATGGGCATCCTTGGCTCCTTCTACTATCATTTTTATTCCGTGCGGCTACTGGGGGCCATGGAAGGGCCAGAGAAGGCATCCTGGCTTCCTTCAAAGGGGGGTCCTTCTCCCAGCCAGACATACCCAACTCCTAGCACAGAAGGGCATCAGTACTGTCTGAAGAGGGACCTATTGCCTGCAATCAATGTTTTTCACTTCCTGGCTTGAGCACCGTATTAATCAGGCACAAAGAGGGAGCCAATGTGGGGCTAAGATTTAGAGGGGAGGGGGAAAATCGGGTAACACGTGTAACTAACTGGCGGCCAAAAACCAGATATTTTTGGAGAGCAAAGCTTGAAGCACAGTCAGGATTTCTAAGTATTTGGCTTGGGGAAGAGTATGGTGATTTGTTTATTTGAATGTATATTTAAAACAAAGCATAAGAGTCCTACTAATAGTATTAGTTCTCCCTTTCCTCTTTCTTCTCCATCTCCTCCTCCTCCTTTGATGTGTTCTGCTGAAAAACACTGGGAAATTCCATCTGTTCCTCTGAGTTTTGCTGCTACAATTTATTGGCCACAGGTCTGAGGACTGTTCCTGAGCTGGTCGCAACAGCGGCTTGTGGGCCTTCTGCTGCCTGCTACCCACTCTTGATTTAAAGGGGACCAAGAGGACCTCGTGAACTTCAGCATCTCTTTGCTCCGAAATCAAGCTGCCAACTTTGGGGGGGGGGGGGGTTTTTGGGG